GCTTTAAGCAACTGGAGATCATATCTTAACTGCATTCAGGCTCAGCTAAAGAAGGGAATGGAAGGAAGGTTGGCTGCCTGAGCAGGAGTAGTGCTAAGCAAATGAGAGGCACAGCCCAAAACTTAATGCCTGAGTGAAATGTTTATGGTGTATAAGGCTGGTCCACTCTAAAGGCAAAGAAATGTCTGATAATCCTAGGGATTTGTGAACTGATTTGAAAATGCATGGATTCTGGCACTTTGCCTCTCTGTCTATACAGCAGGGCTGCCTGTGACAATCCAGGGTGTTATTTCTCTAAATGTGTCACCTTTGCCCTTAGAAGGAGTCTGGTTTCCTGCTCCTTTGGCGATTCCAAGTATGCACTGTTTATTAGCAACACCATCCAATCCCTCAGACACACATTTCTTCCCAGAAGAATCTAAATTAGTTTAATCATATTTTGCGTTTCCCTAGAGGAATTTTTCCAGTCTAATTCTTTCATTTTGCTTTGGTGGTTAATTTTTTTTTCCGTTTTCATCTTCCTTGGGCTTAAAACATCACCCTCTCCACCACCACCTCTGGTATGGGATGCTTATGACAAAAACTCAAGGGATCTTCAGAAACAAAACCCAAGGGACAGTAAAGAGCAGAGTTTCAGTAGCACAGCATCTGTGCCTGGTTAGGCTGAATGGACAGTGTGTCTTAGTAGTGCTTTGCAGAAGTCAACTCGTGGCTCACCCATGAGACCCTTTGCCCTCCCGTCCTATCAATCACAGAAACTTCAAGTCCTCTCCAGCTCCTCTCAGGAGAGCACCTTCCTAAGAGGCCAGGGGTGTGTGAAGGTGAAGTAGAAGTAGAAAAGTTGATGAATAGGCTGGGGCTTTTCCAGAAATCTTGCCAAGCGAGACAAAGACATTGCAGTAAAGGCATTGCCGTCAGGATCTTCCAAAGTGCACTGTGAACTCTTTCCCCCTACAAGCCACTTTCTTCTTTGTTCTCCTTTGGAGCTTCCACATATTAGCATTAACTCATTTATTCTTTGAGAAGAAAGAGAAATTGGGACCTGAATGTAGAACAGTGATTACTGGAGGTGAGAAAGGGTAAATAACGGGAGGCTGGAACCGATGGGTGCCTGCTGTGTGCATGTGCTAACATATCACACCGCGCCTCGTTAGACTGCACCGTTCATACATATCAATAAAACACAAATTTAAGAATTGAGAAATCTGAAGAGGAGCTAAAATTTCCTGAGCATTTGTTTTCCAGTTTGTAGAGACTGAGATTAAACATTAAAAGAAGCTAAGGTTTCCTCTTTCCCAACCCTGTGCAAAGTGTGCAAGAAAGACTCCTCCCACTCCCTTCACATGTAAGAGGCAGGCAATACGGCCCTACTTTGTGAGAAAATGTGCGATGACTGAGGTACGGTATGTAAACCACTCAAAGGATGCCTGGCACTCAATAGCCTTCAGTAAATGTTCTCTAAGAGGCAAGATGATGATGGTGATGATGGTGATGATAAATTCCTCAATTATTCTAATCTTCCCTTCCGCCTAGGTTCTCAAGCTTCAAAAACATAAGGACATTTTTAAAAAATTTAATCTTTTTTTCCCAACTTTATTGATAAATAAAATTCTAGCAACTTACTCTGCCCCATGCTCCATGAACCTGCAAATAACATTTTTCTCAAGTTTATCTTTGATTCTCTTATGTCTGGGAGGGTCTCTGTTAGTTACCATTTCTAAGCAAGTGGAGATGTTTTGTGCAGATTATGATGTCCTAGAGGAGTCTGAGAAAGCTAGAAAAATCTATAAGACCAACTTCTTCAGGTCCTACTACTCTGTCCCCAAGTCACTCCTCTCTAAATATAAAGGCTTCAAAGAGTTAAGAAACTACGTGTTTGGGTCACACATTCCCCTTCTCCTCACAGGTTATGAAGGGTTCATGGAAGTTGTGAGGGTGATCCCTTGCTCCCCAAAGAACCAAGTGGACTAAAGACAGACCAGTATCTCAGATGTGCTGAAGGCCTCTTCACAGCCCTTTGGCTCTCTCATGCCTTTACCCTGAGTCTTTCCCCATCTTCCCCAGGGGTCCTAAATTCTCATTTACAAGACTCACATGGGAAGGCAGGAAGAAGAACACCATGAAGATGGTTCATCACTCAGTGCAGCCCCTGACAACAGGTCTCCCAGTTTACCCTCTTTGCAGCCCATAAACTGCTCTGTAAATTTAAAAAGCGTGAATTTACAGAGCTCAAGAGGAGCCAGGGGGTAAAAACCCATCTCCAACCAATGAGCTAGGCATACTGATGAAGCAGTAATATAAGGTCTTGCCAATTTTTGACCAATAAAATGTCTTTCCTGCTTTTCCAGTTCCTTGGCCTGCCCTTTCCCATGCAACGCTAAGTGGGGACACAATGAGGGGGAAAAGGTCAGCGAAAAGCAACAACACAAAGCAAAGTATCCAGCATACCCTGGGTTTGTCGGGGCACATTTGGGTCACAGTGGCTTCTCTTTGGGGACTTTTACTCCTGTCTTCCTCAGTATCCCCCTGGTTTTTCATTTCAGGGAAGCATGGGTTGATCAGTAGCAAGAATTATTGCCAAAATTATTCCAGCTGCAAAAGAAGCAGGGGTTCAGTGGAAATTGGTGTGGTTGAGAGAAACCTGGAGGAAACTAAAAACACATACGGTGGTTTTGAGAGACATCACTGGGCGATGCTGGCTTTGTGACGCTGGCGGGCTACTTTCATCTCTCTGAGTCTCAGTCTTCCCATCCGTAAAGGGCTAGAATAGATCTTGAGATTTCTAGGTCTGATATTTTCCATTTCAAACACATGTGGGAGCCAGGGAGGGACTATCAGGGCAAGGATTAAGGACCTGAAGCTTTCTAGCTCCTAAGGCCTTGGCTCAACATTCTGAGTGGCCAGTGTTATCTGTACTCTGCTCCATTTATGTAACTCTGGCCAGTATTCAATTGATCAATGTTCCCATGGAGATAGAGAAAGAGAGAGAGAGACAGAGAGAGAGAGAAAGAGAGAGAAGGGAGAGAATAAACATTGAATTAGGTAATCCAAATAGGATTATGCAGGTATGAAGTAATAAAGTTGACAGAATTATAATACTATTCCTTGATTATTTGTTTTAGGATAAAAATATCTTCTCCATAATGAAAGAATACAGCCAAAGCCTGTTCCCAAACAAACTTCTCAAGGAGGCAATGACTCTGAACTACCATCAACCACCTTGTGCCATGCTGCATGTAGAAGACTTAGTCCATTTTCTGGTGCTACAACAGAATACCTGTGATTAGATATTTTATAAAAATAGAAATTTATCTTCACAGTTTTGGAGGCTGGGAAGTTCAAAATCAAGGAGCCAGTGGTTTTTTTTCTTGATGAATGCTGCTCTGCATGTCCAAGATGGTGCCTTATTGCCATGTCCTTCAGAGAGAGGAACACCATGTCCACGCATGGCAAAAGAGAGAAAAGGAAGTAGGTGAAACACTCTGTGCAGGTCTGTTTATGAGGGCCTGCATCCCATTCACAAGTGAGAAGTCTTCCTTTAGTCTAAATTTTACCTCTTAAAATCCTACCTCCTAATCCCACCACATAGGACATTAAATTTTAATGCCTGAATTTTGGAGAGGACACATTCAAACTATAGCAGGAGCTGAGGGAAAGAAGGACACAGATGAAATGATTGTGTGGATAATGAACCACTGCAGACTTCTCTGCCAACAACCTGGATTAGGCAAAACCAGACATGGCATCTTCTAGATCAGAAGCCTAGTGAAAGTTCAGACCAGAATCAAGGGCTAAATGTTCAAGGTTCATGTAGTCCAATATGTAGACGTAAAATAGGGGTGGTTATAAAATGGAGTTTTCAGATATACAGAAGGTTATTATATCCATCAGGTATGTATAGACTCCAGACTGCTGGGTCACAAAGAGGAGCACCTGAGCTGGAACATAGGCTGGTTCCTTTGTTGGACTGCACAGTCTCTGATGTGGAGAAAGGAGAGGCAGTTCATCTAGGGTCACATGACTGGTTAGCTGATAGGAACTCATAGCCAACTTGATTCATTCATTTATGAGTGGATATTGAGTGCATCATGTTCTGAGCTAGAGGTTTTTATGCTTTATTCTCTGCTTAATGCTTTTCCCAATGCATCATGACAACCTGATTCCTATTGAATGCCCAGAATCAGCAAAGCTTTACATTTCCTTCCTTGCCAAACCCTTCTTCCTTTTGTTAAGGTAATGGGATGGTGAAAAACAGCAAAGATGATAGATGTTTTCAATTTGGATGCAGAGCAGTGAGGATGGGTTTTGGATGAGGGCTCTATAAATATTCTTTAAATGGTCCCAAACTGCCTGAGCTGCTTCCTTTAGGCCCATTTTGTCAACAAAGAGGCCTCAGGAGCTTGCCAGAGAGTAGGGGCTTCTCAGGGCCATAAGGACACACTAGTGGTGTGTGTGTGTGTGTGTGTGTGTGTGTGTGTGTGTTTGTATGTAAACCTGAGCATTAGAGAAAAAGCTTAGAAAGAATAAACCTTTGCACTAATGCCTGGCAAGTGGCCACTGTTGTATAAATAATATTTATTTCCTTTTGATGCAATCTTGAGTGTAGTGGTTATATACTATATTTTATTTTTCTTACTTAGGTTTTCTCTTGGTTATATGTGGCTTCTCCACCCAAAATGGCCTTTTGAGGTTCCAATATACATCTGGAGTGTGTGTATAAGTCTGTCAAGGGAGATGTCCTGGCCTTGTTATTTAGGTAGATGGGACTGGATGAGGTCAGCTGGGTTTTCGAGAGTTCACAGCAAGGCCCTCCAACTGGCAGGGAGCAGTCACATCCTCCTGAACTGCCAGCCAAGTGCATGCTCTTCTGAAAGTCACTGAGCTGAAGATAAACATGGAGCCCATAATAGCTTTTTCACTTGATCTCCTTTATTACATGTTCCACACTTTAAATTCCTTTGCTCCACTCCTGTATTCTTCTGGATCTTTTAGAACAAACATTGAAGTAGGAAAAAAAAAGCCAACTTCCCTCTTCTCTCCACCCTTCTCATCCTTTCTGAGTGACTCATTTGAACTGGGACAATTAATCTTAATCAGGACGGCATGACAGCAGAAGACATCCACAGTGAGGTATGTTGTTGCCAAAAACTGGTGAGGCAACCATTCCTTTCCTCTGGGCTGCAGTGGGGGCCATGTGGGACACTTTGGTTGTTTTAAAAATAGCATTTTGCAAAATGACAGCTGCTTGTATCTGCAGGATGGGCATCAGGGCAGGGGTTATGTAATGCCTGTGCTAACCACCGAGGGTGAGCAGGCATTTTTCATACTGCTGGCTGGAAGGTGATACACCAGCTTCTCTGGGGGAGATTAAGGGCAAATAATTCCTCATGTTTGCACTGGTGATTTTCTCTGTAGAACTCAGAGCTTCCGTGTGTATAGCCTTAGCCATTATCCTCATTTTCTGACAGGTTCAACTATTCATCTCCCCTCCTCTGCCCATCTCCTGCTTTGTTTTTTCTTTGCATGCGTCACACTTTCCAATAAACTACGGCTATACCTGCTACCTTAGAAAGGCTTTGGTCAACAGAGTGTACTTATTGCAGACGAGCTTGGCGAGTCCTGGAATGACCAGGAGGAACCACCTCATCACCTTTATGAATGTGCTCTCATCTTCTCATTTGCAATTAACTGATCGAGTCCTCGTTACAGGAGGTCTAGTGTTACTCTCCTGAGGTCCAAAAACTCCAGGGATATAATCCAAAGTGCACAGTCCTGCTTCCAAACACAGGGCAGAGAGGGAACTGGAGCATCTGATTTGCTCAATTATGAGTCAGTATTGGCTCCGTTCCTTCACAGGAACCTTTGTTAAAAACCGTCCTGATGCAGACTGGTGGGTGCCACTGCTGTGGTCATGCATTTGTCATCCTGGATAAAAGCACAGGTTTCAGGGCTACACATGGACATCAAAGTCCCAGCCACAGTGAACCATGAAGCACTCAAAGCTGTATTAGAGGCGGTGGTAGCAGAGCCTTCCAGTTCATCTGAGGTGAATTTCTTCTTCTGGGCTGCACTGGGATCATCCCAGTCCCAGCTCCTACTCTTTTAATAAGCTCTCTTTCCCAACTCACTGTTTAGATCCTTCGTGAATTTGCCTTCCTCCTCTGTATATACTGTACAAAGTATGCGGCCATTACTTTCTTTACACCCAAGGGAAGTCACTCCAGTTATTTTCCCTATGGTCTGCTCTTCAGGGCGTGGCTTCTTTCTTTTCCTGATAAGTAACACGACCTGATTATTTTCTGTATCCTGCATCATCACGTACACTATTATACTGGGACAAAAAGACGCTATCCCTTAGGGAAAGTGCACTTCAGTGCATTCAGTGGCTTTGACACAGAGCTTACATTACAAAGCCACAGGCCTGAACGGAAGTCACAGGGTCAGAACAAAACCTCCATCTTGGTGTGTCAGTCAGGATCATCAGGGTCCACCAACACCACGTTTTCCAAAGTCTCTTGCCACTCATTTATCCCATAGGCCTTTACTGAGCACAACCACAATGCCAGGTGCTCATCTGGGATGCTGTAGTGCTGAGATGGAAGACAGACTCTAGTCACGACAAGCAACGTGCATGCATAAACAATTGTTAGAAAAAAAGTAAAAATGTGATAGGTTTTGGAGCCCTCAAAAATTAGCCATCTGCAACAACTATCGTGCTACCTCTGTATTGGGAGTACAAACCTAAGGAAAGGGAAATGAAAAGAAAAAGATACGAAGAAAGAAAAAGGACAGTTACAAGGAAGTGTTTAGGAAGGCAACTAATTACTCGGTTTCGTAGGGCTAACTCAGTAAGAAGGTCCTGGGAAAGTGCACGATAGACAGGGAAGGAGAATGGAGATAAAATGGTCCACTGTCTTGTGTCTCCCACTGATAAAGCTTCCATGTAGGGAATGTTAACTTCCTCAAATCCTGCAGTGTGTGTGTGCGCGTGTGCGCGCACGCGTGCTTGCTGAATGCCAGCCATCTCTCTTTGGGTCTCATGCCTCATGTCTCAATACTAGCAGTGATAGCCAAGGCACGAAGCGAAAGGTTAAGAGCACGGGCACAAAGCAAGTTCCAGCCAAACTGTGCTCCAATGCACTCAGCCAGAGCAACACACGGCTGGTGGCCTCAATAGCAAATGGGGCAGAATAAGGGCCAATGGCTTCTGAAGCACCTGTGGAACCACAGGGAGCTGAAGTGACACACAAGGGGAACTTGCTGCAGTAAACAGATGAGGCCCAGATAAAATCAGCTTCGGGAATTCGGTTGCAGGGAGCTTTTTCTTATGGTTTTGTTCTCCTACAATAGGGGTACCCAGAGGAGGCAATGTCTCTGAAAGGGCCTAAGGTCTCCTATCTGCACTGTGTTGAAAATGCACAGATAAAAAAGAAGTGGAGTTGGGGACAAGGAGTCAAGGGAAGATTTTTGGAGAAGGTAGATTTTAAGTGGGACTTTTTACTTTTTTATTTTTACATGTTTGCAGTACACAAAGCTTACATTCCTTGTGTGGAGTTGGGGCAGGTATATAACACATTTAATTCCTTTTTATCCCCTTTCCCTGCCCTCGATTTCCTCTCCCTCCATCTCTTGGTTCCCCTTCCCACTTGTGAAAAATATAGCTCCTGATTCCTACTATCCATCTTGTATTTTACTCTTTATTTATGATTTGGGCTTCTCATATAAGAGAACCATGTAATATTTAAGCTTGTGTGTCTGATTTATTTCATTTAACATTACGGTCTCAAGATGCATCTATTTTCCTCCAAATGACTTGTTTATCTTTCTTTATTGCAGAGTAATATCCCATTAAGTGTAAATTCCATATTTTCTTTATCCATTCATCTGTTGATGAAAATATAAGCTGCTTCCAAGATTTAACTATTATGAATTATGGTGGTATAGACATGGGCGTGCATGCATTACTGTAATATGATGTCTTATTTATTTTGGGAAGCTGCTTGAATTTGCAGAATGTGGACGTGTAACTCTGTAGGGAGGGGATGAGGGGAAAGAGGACATTCCATGAAAAGGAGACACTAACTATAGGGACATAGAGGATAAAACTAGGGCAAATGGAGAATAATGTAAGGCTCAATTTGGTCAGTAGTTTGGGACACTAAAGTTATACTGCGGAACAATGTTGAAAATGTAGGAGGAGCCAGCTGGGAGAACCCAGGTGATGTGCTTTGATTCTAATCAGACAATGAAGGACCATGGGTAATACTGAGAGAAAAATTTTAATTTCAGTCCCTCGGCTTGATGAATTCTGTTCTGTGGTCAGACCCTTGCACACACATAGCATTTTGAAAAATATCATAAACTGGATTTTTGAAATTCCAGAGCTCTAGGGAACATATTTAAAAACTTTCTATGTGATCCTTTCCATTTTTCAGAAAAACAAATTGGGACGGGCAAGCTTAGTAATCTTACTTAAGATTCTTGATTTTACTGGTCCTTCTATTTGTGGAGTCCAGAGGGACAGATCTAGCTTAGGCATGGGTTTCAGCAGGTGCTCAGGACTCGGCCCCCTCCACCTCCCTCATGCTCCTGTCCTGGCTTCAATCTCAGACCAGTGCTCCTTTGGAGAAGGCAAGACTCATCAAGCTCCCAGTTTCCAGCCTGAAAGCTTAGCAGGTCCAAAATGGGCAGAAGGCAGAATATCCCATCAAAAGAGGAGGAGGGCAGAAAGAGGGACTTGAGAAGAAGGTGAGGAAGTGGATAAACAATAGTTGCTTACTCCCAGAATCTGAACTATATTGGCAGCATTGAATTGGAGCTTGTTCCTGGCTAAATGATCTCAGAGGGTTGATGATAGAAGACATATGAGTGGAAAATTGCCATTATCATTGCTAGTAGGACTTTTTAAAGTCTCCTGGGACAAGACAGCTAAGATTAAGGCCTGAACTCACACAAAGAAGTCTCATTTGATCCTTTTCAAAAAGCAAAAACATAGCTTTATCCCATGTGCAGTGGTAGACTTTCCTCCTGCCTCAGATTTTCTTCTGCTGAGAGCTACAGAGATATTTTTCCTCTGTATATTCTGAGAAGGTAACTAGTAGAGGAATACAGCCTTCACTGCCTTGTTTTCTGAATAGGAGCTTAGGCCCCAGGTGTGTATCAGAGGAGTAGATTTTAAAAAACAATGAAAGAGGGCGTCTCAGCATTTGGGGCTTTTGCTATTTTTTTTTTTTCTTTTTCTCCTCTATTTTGAATTAACATGAAGTCAAAACCAGATCTTAGAATGGAATTGACTGCCACATAATTTAGACATGTTTGCATAACATTCCAAAAATAATTCAATAAAAATGGGTTTCTCTTGGAATTTATCACTGCCTGGCAAATGAGGGCCCAAACATAACTTTGTGCTAAAAAGTCCTAAGAGTAGCAAATGGAAGTGACAGTGGCGGAGAGAGAGAGGAAACCTAGGCAGCCAGTCAACTTTCATTATCCGTGGTGGTGTAGAGCAGAAAAAGAAAACATGAGTCAGGAGAGGGACAAACGTGGCCAGTGTTTCAGACCTTTTTTCTCTGGGACTTAGTAACAGCTGTCAGGCCAGGGGGCCAAGAGGAGGATGTCTCAGGTCTTAGAAATTCTCTCCTGCTGTATTTTTCCCACTCTTCATCAGAAACAGGTTTCTGATTAGTTTTCATGGGAGATGATCCACAGGTTCAGGAAATAATAAACTACTGTAACCTATAGAATGAATAAACAGTAACAGGGAGACAGGAAGAGAGGTGACCCCAAATCTTCAGTGGGAACGATGGCAGATTCTTTCATCTTCATTACATTACATGGACAAGACTGGCAAGTTGTGTGGATGTAAGTTCTTCCACCTTTAAAAGTGGGGAAACAATAGCTAGGATCACAGTGAGGATTAACATCAGTGTGATTCTTTATGTTTGCGGAGCATTTTCAATCCACACAATGCAGACTGGAGACCTCAGGCCCTTTCAGAGACATTGCCTCCTCCGGGTATCCCTATTGTCAGGCTAGAAATAACAGTTGTCAGAGGCAGAATTATGTACTTGGAATCCTCTGGACCTTTTGAGTCTTCCCTCCTCTGGATCTCAATGGTATTGTGAATGAAA